TGAGTTAACATGAGATCTGATAATTTAAAAGTGTTTGGCAGTTGCCCCCTTGTTCTCACTCTCTCTCTCCTGACACCATGTAAGACATGCCTTTCTTTCCCTTCACCTTCTGCCATGATTGTAAGTTTCCTGAGGTCACCCCAGACATGCAGAACTTTGAGTCAATTAAATCTCTTTCCTTTATACATTACCCAGTCTCAGGTAGTTCTCTATAGTAGTGTGAAAATGGACTAATACACCTCTCTATGCCTCAGTGACCTTATCTGAAAAGATGATGGTGTTATCTACCTCATATGATTGTTCTTAGGATTGGAAACATTAATACACAAACTGCTTTAAAAAATGTTTTACCCATAGAGAATACACATGGTCTTCTCTTCTCAAATTCATTTTCTGCTCATTTAATGTGCCTGGCCTCAAAAGAAAAAGAACCCTTTTCCAATTAATTTAAATTAATGAGTAAACCCAGACTATGCTTAAATTATTTGTAAGTTTAAGGGGATTATTGGCCTGGTGTGGTGGCTCATGCCTGTAATCCCAGCACTTTGGGAAGCTGAGGTGGGCGATCACTTGAGGTCAAGAATTTAAGACCAGCCTGGCCAACATGGAAACCCTGTCTCTACTGAAAATACAAAAATTAGCTGAATGTGGTTGGCATGTGCCTGTAGTCTCAGCTACTCAAGAGGTCGAGGCATGAGAATCGCTTGAACCCAGGACACAGAGGTTGTTGTGAGCCCAGATCGCACCACTGCACTCCAGCCTGGGTGACAGAGTGAGACTCTGTTTCAAAAACAACTAAGTAAGTAAGTAAATAAATAAGGGATTATTATTAGCCCCGGATATCTCTAGTTCACTCATGATATGGTCTGAATGTTTGTTTCCTCCTAAAATTTCTGTGCTGAAACCCTAACTCCCAATGTGATGGTATTAGGAAATGGGGCCTTTGAGAAGTGATTAAATCATGAGGGTAGAGCCCCCATAACTGAAATTAATGTATGCCCAAGGGAGCTCCTTTACCCCTTGTATCACGTGAGGACAAAGCTAGATCTGTGAACCAGGAAACAGGCTCTACATCAGATCTACCAAAATCCAAGATTTCTCAGTCACTAGAACCATAAGAAATAAATGTTTGGTGTTTAAAACCCACCCAGTTTATGGTATTTTGTTACACCAGCCCGAATGAACTAAGACAGCTCAATTTCAGGCTGTATAATATCAAAAGTTTAAATAATAATAATAAAAAGAAACAAATTCCAGCATGTGGGGGGGGACAATAGACAACTCTGTCACCTCTCCTTCAGTATTCCGAATTATTATCATAGATTATTGACCGGCTCTATTTCCAAATCCATTGGTTCTTCATAAAATCTAACTCACTGTCACTCTCTCTCTGACCCTAAATTTCCATATTAACTACAGAAGCCTGTAATTAAGCGGTGAAACATAGTTCCATGTATGCGTGTCATGGGAGAAGGGTAGACAGTTTCATATCAAACATACTAGGGACCTGTATGTCAAAACTGCCTGTACTATCTTAGGGGATGGGAGTGAAATGTCCTACACAGTTTAGACTACTGCTGAGTCACAAAGTGGCCATATTGTTTAAAAATTCCCTCCAGATATCAGAGAAATCCAAGTATCACATGTCCCAGGAGCTTAAGCTACTTCATCTTCCTTTATTCATTCATGCTTGCTATGATATATGCAACACTCCCATGTTTACTACTTTTCATTAGGATGCATAAAATAATTATGCAAGTATTTACAAGAGTACATTACAAAGGATAAATTTTAATAGAGTGCATTACAGCTAATCATTTTCCTTTGATGTCTCAAAGATCCAGAGTACAGTTTATTTCCTCCTATTTAATCCTTTAGAAAACATTTGCAGAGTACCATTAACATAAGTAAACTCTTCAATATCCCTTTATCAAAATGCCATTACCAGTTACAACTCTCCAATTTTTAATGCACTTGCCTCAGATAACTTCTCTCACTCTATAATACCCAGCTTAAACCTACCCCCTCATTTTAATACTCAAATACTTACAGCCATGAGAGAGGAGTATAATTTCCTATGAAGAGTCTCAATAAGGAGGAGATAAATCAGATCTTCCTTGTGAGGAGCTATCCTACCCATAGCAGGACAATTAGCACGCCAACCTCTCCCCATACCCACCACAGAATGCCAACATAACCCTATAACTCTGGCAACAATCAAAAAAGGCGGCACAGGTATCTCAACCACTAGGTAGAATGTACCAGCCCTATTCCTACTGAAAACGCATTGAAGTGATTAAAAGGAACTTCTTAAAAACAGAGGTTGGGCCTGAGCCTTCTGAAATGGATTACACGTGTTAAGAACTTCAGCTCTGGAATCTAACTGCCTAGACCCAGATCTTCTGAATTTTTGGAAGGTAACTTAACCTTACCGTGTCTCTTTCTTTGTCATAAAATGGTATGATAATGTGCCTACCTCATAGGGCATTTCCAGGATTAAATGAAATAATACATGTAAAGTAGCTAGAAATTTGCCTGGCATGTAAGAATTCAAACGGATAATTATTACCTGTGATTTCTAATGCCTCCGTAAGTAACAGATACTTAGGCACTCTTCCTGAAATACAGATTCTATGAATCTGCCTAATATTAATTATTCACGATTTCCTAAATGTGATAAGACAAGGTCATCAGATCATTTATCATTAGAGTTGGAATATTCATATGTCATTCACCTTTTGCTTTAAAAAAAAAAAATTTTCTTTGAAAATGAGCTTACCTTTGGAGGAATGCACCATAAACACAATGCATTAAATTTAGGCTGACTGTTGGTTAGCTGCACAATTGTTTCCTATTTTCACTTGTCACCCCAGCTCCAAAATTTGTTCAAGTTTAGCTACATCAAACTTTTACTTGTGTTAATGACCTATAAGTGCCAGTCAGTAAGATGATGCATTCTCATTAGTGGTCTTCACCTCATTAGAAGCCTGCTCTCACTGATTTGGACCTCAGAGGTCAATACAAATCTCAGGAAGAATTCTCTTTAATTTAATAGATAGGCAGGTATGCGAAAGCCAAGTGCTATCTATACGCGGCTACATTTCACATGCCTACAATTGCAAAGGCATCTAAAGAAACCTAGCACTAAATCCCAACACGATTCCTGCTGAAGAAATCACCATTATGTCTAATACCAAGGAGAACTACAAAATTTGGATTTTTCCCATCAAGATTTCAGAAAGTACTAAGAGTCATCAGAGTGATCTCAATAACATCCTGGAAAAAGCATCTAACACTTAAGAATTTATATATTTTTAAATATCTGATCTCATCTCACTTGATAAATAAATGAGCTGCAGTAGCAGTATCCTTAAAAGAAAAAAAAAAATGCAGTGTCATCCCTCCAGCGTTTTCAACAAAAGAGTCAATATTGAAACCTGAGGTAAAACAGTCAAACAGTGTCAAAAGTGATGTAGGTATTTCTGTTATTTCTGTTTCTCTCCAAAGGGACTGTTTTGTCTCAGGGTGCATGGGTGATTTTGTTGCTAATTAGCCAACGTAGGATCCACTTAAATAAAGGCACTTATAAAGGTAAGAGCATGGCTACTCTGCAAGCTTTCTAAAAGACAGTTTCTAAGAAGTGCAGGCTTACACATGCACAAGCTATCCAAAGTGGGATGTGTTTTCTGAGATAAACTGAAGAAAAGTCTAAATCAACCTTCTCTTCAAAATAAACAAGACACATCAATTCAAGAGAAATCACATACCCAGAAACGTGGCATTTTCGCCAAATACATATTTACAAACTATGTAGAAAAGAAATTCTGAGATGCCACTGATACCCTGGCCATGTGTCAAGATTGAATTTCACATGAAAGAAATGAAATATGTAATTTGAACCCCAAAATCGAATTTTTCTTACAGGAAAAAGTAAAGCCCCAGAGATCTATGGATGGCTTTGTGTACTTATCTAAGCCATTTTTCTATAATAAAGTATTCACATTTCAGAAAGGCAAAAGTGAAGCAAAGTAGGAGCAAAATGGCAAAAATGTTTAAATGCTCAAACACTCTGGTGTCTATTCATAACCACTCAGGAGCAGAAATCGAAAAGCAGAATTAGATCTGGCTTCTCTCTCAGGCGGTTCGATGATGATTCCGCTGATGCTACAGAACTCAGGTGAAACTTCAGCCAGTCAAGAGGACTAGGCAATTTGTAAAGACTTAGACTTCCCATGAGCTCCTCGCTATGGTTGACACGGTGACAAAAATTATCTCCTAGCTTTCATGATTTCTAATCCGGAACGAAACCATGCCCATCCTGAGACGATGCGTTTGAGTCACCTTCCTACTAACTCTTCAGTTCTCTAATAAGGGGACTAGTAGCTAAGTGGCCGAGCACTCAATCCTTCACATACTCATCACCCCCGCTCCTCACTTCGGCAGATGAGCCGGGATTTGCCTCTCGTCAAACCTGTGGAATAAACCACTCCGTCCGACTCGGCGATACTTCTCAAAAAAGAAAGAAAGGTAACATGTGCACGAAGTCATTGGTCTCTACAAAGAAAAAAAATGTCAAACTCACTGTTCGACAGGATTTCATTCACAACCCTTTCACAAAGTGGTAGTCATTAGCCAATTACTCTTCAAACAGAAAATTAAAGAAAATACACACCACGCGCTCACACATGCACACACCCAAACCTCGGGGTGGGGGGGGATGGGGGGAAATCTGTCAGGAGCCGAGAAAGTACCGGGTGGACACCGGCCCCGGTCGCGGTTTCCGCTCCCGGGCTGGCGCTCCCCAAGGACGCGTTGGGGACTGCGTTCCGCCTCGCTCCGCCCGGACAGCCCGCAGCCCCCGCAGGTGTACCTGCCCGCACCTCCTGCCCCCCATCCCTTCCCGGGCTCGGCCCGCGGTGTCCGCGCCAGGTCCGGGGTGGGGCGGGGCACACTGTTGTCTGCTCTCTCCAAGCGTTCCGGAGCGCGCCGGCGCCACTTACATGCCCAACCGGAGCTGTAGGGCGCTTCCTGGCGGCCAGCCGGCAACCGCCCAGACGCAGAAGCACAGTCGCGAGGACATCTCGGCGAGGCTGATCCACCCTGGCCGCCGCCCGGGCTGCGCGCGGCGCGCCGTTCCGGCTCCTCAAGTCCGAACCCGGCGCAGAAGTTCGGCTCGTCGGGCAGAAGTTGGTGCAGGGCTCGCGAGGCTGGCGCGGTGCGTCTCTCTGCGGCGGGAACGGCAGTAGCTTGGCCCCGACAGGCGTCAGAGGCGGCTGGGAGTGCGAGAGGAGCGGCCGGGAGAGCCCCAGAGGCTCGGTGGCCGCTGAGCTGCATGCCCCTGCTCCGCCGGGAGCGACTGAAACCGAGTGAGCCCAGCGGCCCCGCAGCCCCCGCAGCCCCGGTGCCATGGAAACGCGCTCGCCGCCCTCCCGCCCCAGCCCCTCCGGAGCGCTTAAAGAGACAGCCCCTCCGCCACCGCGGGCGCGAGGCGCTGCTGGGCGTCCCCCACGCCCTGCGCCCTCCTCGCCCCCTCCTCTTCTCCCAGCCGCGGCGGGGGCTGGGCGCTGGGGACGGGAAGGGCAGCTGGGACGCAAAATAAGGGGCTTCGCTCAGTACTCAGCCTAACTCTGCTCCCACCTCTTCCTACCCTCCCCCCTCCCAGCACACACACTCAAATCCCGCTAAAGAGCCCAAGCAGTCCTGGCTTTTCCTCTCAAACATCAGCCTGCTCAGAACCAAACCAGTTGTGCAGGAGCAGAGACCAAAAGAAGGCTGACTTTTGATTCTCTTGTTCTGCTCGCTCCCCACCCCGAGTCTGGAGAGTTGGTCAGAGCGGTAGGCTGAGGGAGGTGTGTTTGAAGTGGGAACCAACTGGCAGTTGATTGAGTCAAATCTGCCAAATCGACAGTTGCAGGACACATCGCCGGCTCATCCAGAAATCCTCCTCACTCTAAACGGGGTCATCTCTCTTCGTTTTATTTGGCTATCATCTCATCCCCATTAGGCACCAGAGTTACAAGGAGGAGCCAACGCTTTTACAAACTTAATCCCTCCTTTCCTTCAAACCAGCTCCTTTCCCCCAAATATAAGGAGGAACAGCCCCTCCTGCCCCGAATGGGAAGCTCTCTGGCTGCGGTGCTGGCCAGCGCAGCCAGGGACGCACGGCCAAGCGCGAGGCAGTCGCCAGCAGCTCAGGCCGTAGTCTGTGCCTCTGCCCGGTGCCAGCTGCTGTCTGGAAGGCCACAAACCTCTGGAGTCTGTTTCGTGAAAATAAAAATCTATGGTGCATCGTGCCCTCCAATAAAGGACAGCCCAGACTCCGAAGCCATAATCTGCTGTTTATCCCTGAAAAAAAAATGGATCAATCTGCAGTGGAGCGACTTTTTTCTTTGATTCCTAAACTTACCAAAAGTGGCTCTCCAGTGACTCATTCATGTCAAATACTGTACTCAAAGTGGTACCACCTGATTTCCTCAGTTCTGGGAGCCCTAAAAGGATCTTTCCCAAATGGTTATGTGGGCTCCCTCTTGTCCTGCATATTTGAAATAACCATCTGGCTCTTAGTTTCAGTGTTTTGAGCCTTTGTTCCCTTTTCTTTCTTCTTCCTTTTTTTTTTTTTTTTTTTTTTTTGACTCTGTCGCCCAGGCTGGAGTGCAATGGCGAGATCTCGGCTCACTGCAATCTCCGCCTCCTGGGTTCCAGCGATTCTCCTGCTTCAGTCTCCTGGGTAGCTGGGACAACAGGCGCGCGCCACCACGCCCAGCTAATTTTTTGTATTTTCAGTAGAGATGGAGTTTCACCATGTTGGCCAGAATGGTCTCCTGACCTCGTTATCTGCCCGCCTCGGCCTCCCAAAGTGCTAAGATTACAGGCGTGAGCCACCGAACCCGGCCCAATTGGGCTTTTACAGAAGGGATTGAGAAGCAAACTTTTGTCATTTCTCTGAAAAGGAAAAAAAAGATGGAGGTGAGATAAAACCAAACTACTCCTGAATTTTTCAGCATTCTGTGACTTTGCTCTTCTTGAGTTTCAGAATATGGAATTCAGGCCACCCTACAGTATCTTCTATTTCTCTGAGATATATCTGTATCTTTTACTTCTTTTAAAATTGAAGTTTAATTTAGTAAATTAAAAAAGCCACAGGTACAAGTACATAAGTAAACATCTTTATCCTTTTACAAATATCTTTAACAAACATAATTTTTTAGCTCTTTCCACAATAGAAATCATTACCTAACCCCCCTTATTTCATTAAAAAAAAAAAAGATTCATTCTGACTTCTCTTTCTAAATGCCAGATATACATCAGCCAGGCCTTCTGTAACCCCAGAGACAGTGGACTTGGTGACAGTGCTGATTATCTACTGTACAGATGCATTGTAACTTGGCTAACTAATTAGTTCTAATATTAACAGGCCTAGCATAGGCTGCTAAAACACATTGACAATTTAAAAATATATTTTTAACTCTTCTAACTTCTACTCAACCTCTTTGCCACCTTTTTAAACAAGTAACAAAGTTGATTGCTTAATTTCAACTCCTCTTTTTTTTCTTCCCTCTTCTGGTGAGATGCTAATGAACAGTGAAATGACCAAGGCAGGCAGGGCACTGTGGGGGAACAAGGAAAGAAGAGAAACTGGCTAATACACAAAAATGGTGGTTTCTGAATTGAGTGTACTAACTATATAAGGTGGGGTTGTTTTTCTCCCCATCTGGATATAGCTATAGGTAAAAAAATAATAATAATCCTCTCCATTGATTCAATTTTTTGTTTGTCTTTTGAATGAAATGTAAAGACTCCAGATTGTTTCCCTACAGTTTGATCTTAATTATTTTAATACAAATTTATAGCATACCTAGAGATGACAGTAAAAATTAATTGTACCCCAAAATTTCCTTTGACTTGCTAAGCTTTTATTTGCTCCTGAACTAGTTTTAACTCTGCTTGGATGTATCTCCAACCAATTTCATTCCCTCCTGGAATGTAAAAAGTTTCTAAACATTCTCTTTCATAATATCACTGAAAGTCTTGCATAAATAATAGATCACATTTATTACAAGGCTAAGTTTTATGTAAGCCACAGCTAATATTCAGAACTATTTTAAAAGCTAAAGAATAATAGAAATACAAGAATGTTTGTAAATCATCTGATTGCATAGTTGTTTAGTAAAGGACAGCTTAGGTACGTGGGAAGTAACTAAGCCCATTGAAAATCATAAATTAGAAAATTTTCCTTTTATATACATTGGTTTCAAAGCACATTTTTTATTATAGATGAATATTTAAAGCACTTAGGATGCTACAGAATAAATATGAATAGTGTACATTTCAAAAAGTGAGATTTATTTCAAATTATTCTAGCATGGATAATAATATGAACACAATGTCATGTAAGCAACACCATTAAATGAAATATACTCTTCTAACATAAGTGTTAAAATTTTGCCATGAACTTGAAAACACTGATTTGAAATCAGCTCCCCTTCTGCAGTATATTCATACAATCTTGAAATAACTGGTTATTTGGTTCGATTGGTCGGGTGTGCTATATCTTTTAAAAAACAAAGTATTATGAAACCTGTTAGTTATAATCTTCCATATTATAAGAACAATGCAGTTTGGTGTTTGGGGGTTGTTATAGACACACAAAATGAAGGCAGACACAGACAAAACAATTAACTTGGCCTTTATTATCAAAGGAAAATAAATTTTAAATTTAACCAAGCAAGAGAATGAGCCAGTTACACAAAAACCAATTTTAAAAATAAGAGAATAAAAAGTTTTGTGTTGATGATATCCCTTCTTTGGACATAAATATTACAGAAAAAATCCAGAAACATTATCTATTTTTATTTTTGTTAATGATCTTTCACAATCTCAATCTAGACAGATTCTTAAAAATGAGTTAGAAATTGAAGACAAACATTCTATCTAAAAGGAGTCCTAAAGATTTTAAGGGAGTCCTTCATGGGAATTCCACATGCCACTTCACTCTCCCTCCAGACCTGTATCAAAGGATTAATAAATCTAACCAGCTTCTCTCTTGTTAGGAAGGGGTGGGGTAAGCCAATTTAATGCTTTATGTATGCTGGTTGTAAAAGGGGATGCTTACCTAAAAAAAATAAATTCCGACCAGATGTTCTAAAAATCTTCTTGAGTTCCTGCTTGAAGCTTTACAGTTACCAAATACTTTATCTTCTCATCTATCTTCTTCTCATTGAGAAATTGTTGATCCATGGCAATTCAACAAGCAGGCTGCTACAAAAACCTTCCAGCCAAAGCTTTTCAGTCCTGCTCTCCCGCACACAAAAACTTCCAGTGTCTATATGGGGACAGGAAAGGAGTACAGGCCACTTCATTCAGCAGGTGTTGTAGGTTGAAAGAGGAGGAGGTCAGAAAGCAATTCTTTAAAGGACAGCTTCTGTCACCTGAAAGTGTAATAAATTGCCATTGTAAAAATGCCTACAAGCACTAATGAGCCATGCACATTGAAATCTTGATGTCAGGCAAAGTAGAATGAAATTCACCCGGGAACCAACTGAGATTGTCACACCAAGATGTGAATAATCATTCTCCCTTTGGCTTAATCTGCCACTAAATTCTGCCCCTCCAAATCCATAGTTTTTCTCTCTCTCTCTTTTTATGGAAAATAATAAGTTCTTCATAAAACCCATGAAATATATGGCTAGTGATTTATACATAATTTCTCAGCACTCCAATCCTCATTGGTCATAAAGACTTCCCAATCATATTTGAGTTAAATGGAATGATCAGATCTGGAATTATATGTATTTATTAGAACAGAATTGGAAGATTAGCCCAAATACATATTTTTTTAGAAACTGTACTTTGCACAGATAATGCTTTTTTAGGGGCATATGGGGTGAAAAATATGTAACTTTAAATTTATAATCTTAACCATTTTTAAGTGTATAGTTCTGTACTGTTAAGTATATTGTTGTGCAACAGATCTCTAGAACTTTTTTATCTTGCAAACTGAATCCATATCCATAAATACTAATTCTCCCTCTCCCTTTCTCCCAGCCCTTGGCAACCGCCTTTCTATTTTCTGTTTCTATGTTCACTATTTTAGATACTTCATATGAATAGAATCATAGAGTATTTGTTGCTTTATGACTGGCTTATTTTGCTTAGCATAATATCCTTGAGGTTCATCCATATTGTGGCATATGACAGGATTTCCTCCTTTTTAAGGCTTTATAATATTCCATTGTATGTATATAAATTTTCTTTATCCATTAATCTGTCAATGAACATTTGGGTTGTTTCCACCTCTTGGCTATTGTAAATAATGCTGCAATAAACATGGATGTTCAAATATCTCTTTGAGATCTTGCTTTTAACTATTCTGGCTAT